AACTGGAAAACATATGGTGTTATGCTACTTCGAAATCCCTCATTTATAGTTTTCTGGATGATTGCGAATATATGATATATGTAATAAATGGAATAATTTTTTCTTAGTTTAAGTGTGAGATCCAGGGTCGCGGGAAACAAAAAATAAATTGTACAAAGATAATTAAAGTTTTGAGTTTAATCAATAAGACCCAATTCCCGAAGATGCTCTGGAATAACTACATATGGGTCTTCGTAATACCAAACGTATCTTAGTGCAATCCAGTTCTCTTCGCATAATTCTTTCTTTAGTTGATCCCGTGCTTGTTGCTTGATAAAATTATTCGGGTCTCCTCTATGAAAGAATTCTATATACTTTTCGTGCTGCTCTCCTTGCACTTCAATTACAAATCCATATTCATAATAGGGAATATCAAGTTCTAATCCTTTAGGGTGTTCAGGAATTTTCAAGAAATCTGGTCTGCGATTTTCAGATGGTGGGCCAAGATACTTTGCTACAATTTCTCGACATAATTGTTCGCGTTTATATTTATAACAGAATAGACACCAGGTACCACTTTTCATATATGGCCTTCTTTGCAACACCATAATAGTGGTAATTGATTGTTTTTATACTTGGTTGAAAGGCATTGCCCATGTCTAGATAATGCAATTTGCTTCGCGTCCTCAAGAGATAATTTTATATGACCTGCGCAATATGGACACCAGCTTTCTTGTTGAATACTATTAGGAATAGTATGTTTATTCTTGCAAATCTATTCTAGCTTGACAGATGAATTATAATATCGATCTGAAAGGCAATTTCCATTTTTTATTTGCGTCAGTTTACGCATATCCTCAATAGATTGATATCAGCCAATACAAAATGGACACCATTGTTCTCCATTTTTAATGTGATTAAGTGTATTTTGCCATTGGTGATTAGATTGGCAACGCCAAGTAAGTGGTTCAGCTATGTTTTTATATTCAGTTGAAAGACATTCCCCATGTCTAGATAATGCGATCTGTTTTGCGTCCTCAATCATATGACCTGCGCAATATGGGCACCATGAACCAGAATTTTTAATATTATTAAGCGGGATATTCCAAATATGACCTTGATGGCATTTTCATGTCATATGAGTTTTGGAATTACTATATGTGGTTGAAAGACATTTACCATTTCGGCTAAGTGCAATTTGCTTGGCATCTTCAAGAGTAAGACAAGCATTACCTGCACAATATGGACACCACTTACCTCTTTTCACATTTCCAAGAGATGCATGCCATAAATGATTTTCTTTGCAACGCCACAATAATGGCAATTGATTATTTTTATACTTAGTTGAAAGGCACTCCCCATGTCTAGATAATGCGATTTTTTTTGATATCTTCAAGAGTGTGTTTTACATTACCTGCACAGTGCGGACACTATGTTTCAGAACAACGCCATATTAATGGGGTTTTGTTATCTTTGTATTCAGTTGAAAAGCATATTTCACTATGAGATTTGGCAATAGTACAAGCATCATTTAAGGATAATTTTTTCATTGTAAACAAAGATTCACTAATTTTTAGATTTTATTCTTCTAATTTCAAAGGAGTATCCCAACCTAGTCTAATCGCTAATGGATCATAGTAAAATCAAAAACTATAAAATTCTGATTTTGCAAATGCTTATCAATAATCTTGGATGCCTTTTTCAGATCATCTGTATATTGATACATGACTCTTTGAATATCATCCTGACTACCACTCCCTCAGAATATAACTAGATGTGAGACATTTTCACAAATTATCTTTAGCACAGCCTGATATTTTAAGTTATGTATATAGGAGAGATGTTTTGATGCCATTTACTAATAAAGTAAAGGATAATATGTTTTTGTATTTTTTTTTTGATTCAGCGCAGAGATCTTCAAAAACAATAATAGTACTTCTTTTTGGGAAGAATTTGCTTATATCTGAGATCTTTTCCACCTTGATTGTTTGAAATGAGATATTCTTCCAATATGGATTAGGACTATTCGCAAAAATATGAATAGCATTTTTAACCAGCTTACATTTTGGCTCAGCATGCTTCTCAACTAAAATGAGATTATCATTTCTAATATATCTATTTTTTTTCTTGCCTTTAAACATGCGTTGTAGAGCTTTGAATCAGGTCAGGTCAACCTACAACCTGACCTGACCCAACCTGAAAAATCTAGATCAGGTAAACAAATTTTCAGGTTAACATCAGGTCGGGTCAAGCTTATGACCTAACCTGATAAAATTCAGGTCAACCAATCAAATTAAACGAAATAAAATATTTAAAAAAGATTTTTTTTTTGTCTATTTTTTTTTAAAACATCTTTAATTTTATTTAATATACTTTCTTTTTATATTCTAATAAAGT